TAGTAGTAGTAGTATTAGTATTAGTATTAGTAGTAGTAGTAGTAGTAGTAGTAGTAGTAGTACTAGTACTACTAGTAGTAGTAGTAGTAGTAGTAGCAGCAGCAGCAGCAGTAGTAGTAGTAGTAGCAGCAGTATCGTCCGAAACTTCGGTAATCATCAGCGCTAGGGTTGTCACCGCATGTCATGCTGGCAGAAGAAGAATTGTTTTCATTCCCAAGTCACTGCGGATTCTTGCCAGACTTTGCTCAAGCATGTGCGATTCTTGGCCGAAGCCGGGCCCCTCCCGAATCAGGACGGTGCTTCTGCCATTCACGCGGCATGCCGAGTTAGGGAATGAAAGCACGCGCGGACTTAATTCCGCACAGGAGGAGCCGTCGTCAGCCATGGGGGCAAATTGCCAATGCGGGACCAGCGCAAGTTCGGAGGACTTGGTTTGTTGTTGCTTTGTCTTTAGATTTCGTGATTCCTGCCTCGATGCTGGTTCTCAGCAGTCGCGGCATTGTGAATGTGTCATGCGTGGTTATCATCAGGAGGCTGTCAAGCTTACTCCTCGAAGTACGGACGCTGTCAGCATCTACCCTGCCAAGGCTCACAGTCGTCGTGTGGCATTGCCAGGTTACACTGTCTGGAGAATCCGAGTTGTCATGCCCGAGCAGGTTCCGGAGCCTTTCCAGGTTTTGCAGGGTTCATGGTGCACAGAAGCAGATTTACAAACGATGGGTGCTGGACCGAGGATGTTGCAACACGTAGAGGAAGGCACCAGTACTGCAGCAATTGCCGAGGCACGATTGTCGGCACGGCCATCATTTGGGACAAGGTCTTCAACCTCGACCAGTCATCACTGAGGATTGCCGTCCTTGCTCATGCGACGTGACGAGAGAGAGTCCAAAAGAAACTTGAGCGTGCTGCCCCAGGGTGAATGCCGACGGGGAGTTTGAGATGTCTCTGAGCGGGACAATTCACAAGGCAGGGACGACACTTACCTGTAGCATCCTCGGGCCTAGGGTCTCGTCGTATCTTTGCGACATCTGCAGCGCTGCAGGCGAGACTTGACGCTAATCGTGGGCGGCTTCTGTGGAGCGATGGCGAAATCTGGGACTGGCCCTCAGTCGCAGCCCATGGCCCGTAATTCCTCGATCTGCTCGGGAGTGCAGGTAAAAAGATGAGCCGCCATGGGCCGCCTGTGGTCTAGTAGGACTCTGAGTGCTTTGTCGCGTCTCGCGGATTGCCTGGCGCAGCGCAAAGCACATGGTTGAGGACTCGAGAGTGGGAAAGTGGAAGGGGCCTGAGGCACGAAGGGCACCACGGAAAGTAGATGGTTTTCCCCTGGCCCCTCGGCGATGCCCATAAGCAGGCCTGTCATAAGCATGCAGCAGTAACAGGGACTTCAGCCGGGAGCCGAGTAGTGAGATCACGTGAAGCGTCGTCTCACGAGCCGAAGCTCCGAAGCCTGATCGTGGAGAAAATGTCTCGCGCAACATCACGGCCAGCTTGTGCACCGGCCTCAAAGCTGGGCCATGTTGCAGCACAGGTCAGTGGTAGGTGGCGAGTCGGCAGCTCAGAAGTCTGGCCTTTGCTGCTTTTGCCATCTTCTGTCCAGCGTGGAAGACAGAGACAGAGAGGTCGTACACAATAAGCAAAGCTCGTCGAGGATCACGCCGCAGCCTCGGAGCTTTCAAAAGCACACGTTCCGCGAACAAGTGCTCTAGATTGCCAGGGCTGGCGACAAGCCAGCGCCGTGCAGTCCCCAGCGCCGACACGGTTCTTTGCACGCTCGGCTGTAACCGGAGCTTTTGCAGTCGTAAGCCAGGAGGGTCTGTCGTGGCGACACGGCCGCCGAGACGAGGCATGAGCATGTGCAATCATGTGCAGCATGATTGTGTTTCTAAACTGGATGAAAAGTCGTGCTGGAGCAGAACAGAAGATCGTAGCCTTGCTGGCAGTGCACAAGCCGCAGGATCCTGATCATAGAGAGCTGGGCATCAACAGAACAGCCGACATCTGAACTTCATACTCTCATTCGGCGGGTGTAGGTGGTCAGATAAGGTCTCGACTTGTTAGAAGAAGTATGGGGCATTGGGCGGCAGCCTGAAAGCAAGTTGATAAAAACAGAGGGTGCCGTGTGGCATGCCGTCGGATGCTTAAAGTGGATGGGGATCGCCGTGCGTGTGCTTTTCAGGAGAAGTTGCGAGCCGTGAAGACGACCAGGTGCGCAGCGTCCCTGGTGCAGAAGCCCCCAGGGCATGGCCTTGAGACGAATGTCATGCGATGTCCATGTTGCCTCAAAGCCTTCTAAGGCTTGGCTGAAGCAGAGCAGCTGTGCATGCTGCAGCAGAGCGCGCTGGACCGGATCAGTCTGCTTCAAAGTGTTTGACTCCACATCTCCGTGACCTTCAGTCAAGCATGCCTTCTCATCTGACTTGCTCAGCCGCCTTTGCTCCCTCGTGACTTCTCAGGCATGGACTTCCAGCACTTGAAAGCAACATGGCAGCAACAGCAGGGTGTTCGATCGGCTCTTGAACGCTGTGCCATCTCGTACGCCGGCCCTATCAGGCAATGCGCATGCGTGTTGCTTCTTCGAAGGGAAGTCAAACCCGAGCCCTGCCCAGGCCCTCATTGAGCGAGCTGGGCGCCTCAGAATAGAGAGTGACTTGAAGTGGATTTGACATTGAGTGCACCCAGTGCAGCATGTACTGGCAGCCCGAGCGAGGGATTAGAAAACACAGTGAGATAAGGGACATGCTTCTACTTGAAGGCTGTGAGCAGAGAAGTGTGATTTTGGGCGGAGCCTTGAGGCTGTGCAGCTTGCAGATGCCGAGCGCCGCCATGGTCGCAGCCTCGTTAAACGGTGAGGGACCTCTTCGCGTTGCAGACACCCGTGTGAGGCGTTGAAGGAGGCAATTTCGCAGCCCTCCTCCATCGCCTGTTGACGCCCAAGACGGTCTCATGACTCATGACGCTTTTCGGGGTTAGAGCCCGGGCCCTCATCCAAGGCGTGAAATCATCGCGGCTAATCACCGGAATCCATCTTCCGGAGGCATGCCAGATCCTGGAGTTGGGCATATAGCTTCAGCATCTCCGGCAAACTGGCACGAGCAGGAAGTACCGATGACCTTGGAAGACTGCCCGTGGCCGCCACATCCGTGCGCCCTGATGTAGACTTTCGACAACAGCGGGTCAGGTCAGGTAGGTGAGGCAGGAGTGGATACAGACTGCACAGATCACTTGTGATGATGACGACGAAGAGCTGGCAGAAGGAGACACAGTTTGCCCGCTTCTGAGCCGTTCTAGTCAGGAGCGGGGGACTGTCGACATTCTGCGCAGCCGTCATCGTCTGGCAGAGCCTAAGTTACACTCCCAGGCTACGGCTGCCCTGAGCAAAAAGACCATGCCGTCGAAGAGCTCGGATGAGTTCCTTGAGCGTTTTCGGCCAATTCAAGAACATATGCCAAAGTCACATGCAGCTGCAAGACTTAGTCGGTTGTGGTTCGTGTCCAGCTAAACATGCTGTGTTAGCTTCTGTAGGTCACTATCAGTGCATGCAGGCAGCTGGTTAATTCAAGTCAAGTGCCAATTCGTTGTGTTGACAGAAGATCTGCTTCGCCATGGTGTCATACAAGCAGACTAAGCCATGCGGCCCGTCATTGTTATCTTTGTTCGGACATGCCGGCAGATCATGCAAATGAAATTATGCTGACTTGCACCGGCTTTGTGACAGACCGTGTTTCCATGACCAGCCCAAGAATGTAAAGAGAAGATGGTCAACTCGCGAAGGAGAGAAAGTGGCTTCAGCGACTCGACGATTCCGTCGGTGCATCTGCCGACCTTACCACGCCTGGCCAGTTCTCGACCGGCGTTGGCCCCATGCCTCGTGCGACTAGATCTAGCTTATCCCTGCACGGCTTGTTCTGCATGAGTCATGGCTGCCCCCCTGCCTCAGACAATATTCAGACTGCAGCTGATCGCACAGTCTCACGGCCCTGTCCATTTCGTTGTTTTGCCTGTTCACGACTGCACTGCAAAAATGGGATGCCGGACTGTCACAGAGCTAAAGTGCAGAAGCACGCTAGCCTTATCTCCTCGAGACTTGCGCAGGGCATGCAAAAAAGTACTTGTTGGAGAAAGCCTCAAACTATTATTGGCCCGGCCGAACACGACTCCGGACAAGCCTGTGCAGAATGTCCCTGACACACGGGGGTTCCGCCTGGCCTGAACCAGTGCTTCTGCCAAACCGCCGCATCTTCAGACTCAGCTTAGACTCTGGGTAAGGCATTGATCGAACCGCCGCGGGCTGCGTTAGCCACTCAAGCCAAGAAAAAGTGATTCTACATTCTCGGGGCAGCGGCGCCTAGCAGATCCTCTTCCACTTAAGCCCGCGAATCTTGTGCACTATCTAGGGTTTGTATGTAGATCTGCTTGAATTTGTTTTGTCGGCAGAAAGTCCTCAGTGGCTCCTCGATTCAAGCTAAATCATCAGGGAAGCCGGGCGCCGACAGTCTGCAAAGTTCATGGAAATAGTGTCCCTTGGCACACCGTGGTCGCCGCAGCGCAAGACTTGGCGAGCCGCAGACAAAGCTTAGTACTTAGCACTCCAAAGATAATGACAACATCCAGGGCCTGAGAAAGCAAGCCTTGCACTGAACAAGAGAAGGTCAGGCATGATATTGACACACCTCAGCTACGAAAGCAGCCGGAGATCCAAGCAGCAAAGACCAATTCAGCAAAAGTTGAGTCGGGAATCTGGATGCTACAGCAAAGCCAGGAGCATTTGAGCGCAGATGCATAGCATAACCCTGATGGCATGGCTTCGCTTCCGGTGACGTAATCGGGCAGTCGGGCAAGATGATGTGCCTTTTTAAGCCGAACACATACGATCCGAAAGATTGGCAGTGCCCCAAGCCAAGCTGCAGGACCGTGAACTTCAAGAAGAGGCTTACGTGCATCTCTTGTGGGGCCCGGAAGCCGGATGGGGCGAACAGGCCCTTGGATGATTGGCGAGACGGGGAGAAGACAAGCACAGGTCCTTGGACCTGCGACGCGTGCGGAACCAAGAATGAAGGCGGAGCTATGTACTGCATGCAGTGCAAGATGCCGTCTCCGGACATGAAGCGAGCCATTGAAGAGGAGAAGGCTCAGAGAGCTATGGATGAAGGCAGGGGTGGCGGCTTGTTTGATCGTCAAGACCCGAATGATAGAAACGACTGGGACAGCGGAGATGAAGAAGTGGACGAGTTTGGGCGCCGCAAGAAAAAGAGTGCCGCCGCGAAGCCTGCGAAGCAGAAGGCATCCAGCCAGCTAGCCGACAAGCACAAGGCAGCACTGGAAAGGCTGAAAAACAAGCACGCGGCCAGCAAGCGCGATGAGAGCCCTGGCCCAGTCGAGAAATCTGAGCCACCTCCTCCCAGAGAATCCCGGCGACCTCGGAGCCGCAGCAAAAGTCGAAGCCGCAGCCGCCGGAGAAGCCGCAGCCGGCGGCGGCGGTCGCGAAGCCGCAGCCGCAGGCGTCGCTGATCCCGACGGGAGCAGGACAGGTTGCCGACCAATCCATCATGACTGTCATGACTCGGTCCTAGGTCCAGGCACATGCAAGGCAGCTTTGCCTGCCAGGAGGCCTGCCGCCAAGGCCGCACCCTGAACTGTAAGCATGCAGTAGGCTTGGCCGGCGAGGGTGACTGCACACAATGCCTCTGACGGCTTGAAGCGTTTTGGCTCGAGTAGAGCAGAAGCCAACTGACGCTTCCGTCGTGGTCTGCGGCCATCGAAGGTCCGCCGATTAGAAGATAAAGGCGGCTCTGGCTTTCCGCACAGCCTCGAACTTTACAGGAGAACTACCGGCAAGGGGCAAGAAGTCATGGTTCTCTGGAGAGCGGCATGGTGGCAGAGATAATCTTGAGCAATTGCCTTCCCGGTGGACATACCCTCGGTGTGCATTTGAGGCACTAGCCAGACTGACTACATGTCGACGTTCATTCCAGCCTCCGGTCGGACGAGGCACAATTGCAGAGTTGACGGAGTCGTGCTGGCGGTTCTTGTTGCAGGCGGCCTCTCGATGATCAGATGGAGCTCGTCAGGAGCCTCGGCCGAAGTGTAGCCGTCCTGCAAGCGTCGGCCGAGAGGCAGTTCAATCACTGCAAAGTCGATTGAGGTATGGATATCGAACTTCTCAAGGCAGAAATTGTCGATGATGTGGCTGTGGTGTGGCCCGCAGTTTGAACGATCTGCTCGGTTTTGTGAGTGGGGTTTCCACTACCTGCACCACCCTCCCCGAAGCATCGACTGAAGAGGTGCGGCTTCTTGCTCCAGAGGGACAGTTTCCGTGGGGTACTCGCATCTTCGAGCACCGCATCAACCCCCTGCTGATCCAGCAGGCACGGCCGTGTCTTGGAGGCCAGTGGCCTGTACAGGCCTCCAGGCTCCCGAGTTTCAGAGGTGAATGCGGCCTTGGATGTGGCGGAGAGAAACTGCGTGAATGCGCTCACAGTGATAGGCTGGGACGGAAAGTCGGCAATAGTCGGTAGTCAGAGTGCGAGTCTAGCAGCGACACCCTGTCCGGAAGGAGATGGGCGTTTCTTCTGCAACGGCATGGACCTGCAGCAATCGGGTCCAATCTCGAGTCTAGCGGTCTAGCGGTCTAGCGACTCTTGCGACTTTGACGATGGCCCTCCGACAAGATTCCGTGAGGTACATCTCTGCAAATGTGGCGGAGTCCACGAAGATCCAAGCTGACGCTGAAAAGCTCATGTCCCGCCCAGGGCTTACAGGTCGATAACTTAGACAAGCCCTCATGCAGCCCGAGCTGTTGCCTAAACACCTAGGAATCCTCACATTCGGCGTGCCGACAGTTGCTGCAATCAATGGGCACATCACGGCGGGCGGGGCCATGCTCGGACTGGCTTTCGACAAGCGCCTCATGCCCGCTGACTCCCCAGGCGCTAAGTCCGAGAGAGGCGAAGGAAGTCTGACACGGAACTGTCAGGGCTTTTCTTCGTGCCCGGCATCGACATTGGCCTGGTGTACTCTGCTGGCATGACGGAGTTGATGTGTCTTGCCTAAAGGAATTTGCTAGCGAGATGTGCAGAACGGAGCGGGTCAAAGCATCACTCTAGGCCGAACGAAGCCACCAGAAAACAAAGCAGAACATGCATGAGAGCAGTCACCGCCGAATTCTCTGTGCAAGCTCGTGCTAGCCAAGAGTCCAGTCAGTGGTAGCCTGCGCTGAGGAAAGCAAAGCTCCCTTCGACCATGTGGAACGATGCTGGGCTGCCCTGGGTCGATAGATGTTCCCGCTGGGGCACTGGCGCCCGCTGGCCAGGACACCCTCTGCATGGGAAAGCGATACCAGTCCGCGGAGCTCAAGGCAAACGGCGTCTCCCTTGCAGTGGCCGGGGATCCGGGGATGGTGGCCTTTGAACCTGGGCTTCAGCAGAGCTGAGCTAAGGAGTATTGGAGGAGACTCCGGCAGCCTCGGAGTTCTTCGACGTTGCTCTGCAGTTGGCCAAGTCCCTGAAGAGCAAGGGCAAAGATCCAAAGACTCGCGTGACACAGTCGCAACCAGGAAAGCCAGGGAGGCAGAGCTTCGCGAAACTGTGTCTCAGGAGACCATGCATGGCATAAAGAACAATCTCTACAAGGACGCCTTGCTCTTAGCCTGTGAGGCCTCTGTGACCAACACTTGGCCGCGGAGGACGCCGTGGCACTGCTTGGGCAGAAGGTACAAGACATGGGCTTTGCCGACGGAACCTTTGATGCCACCGGCAGACCCCGCAAGTCTTAACGACCGGCAGGATTCTTTTTTACTTCGGTTGCCAACTTTTGGGATCCAGACCTCCAGAGTTTGGATACAGTCTGGTGCCAGCCTGTACAGCGCTGCACAGAAGCAAGCGATGATCAAAGATGTCACGTCTGCACACCAGACATTTAGGCTGTATGCTACGGTTTGGAATGCAACGTTCCCAGGCTCGGATCAGGCATATGTTGCAAGCTTTGCGAAACGGAAAAGGGAACTCCATGCCTGAGGCTTTGGCCTAGGCCCAGACGTCTGCACACCGTGTGGTGGGCAGGAATGCAAAACGCGGCTGCAGGCTGCGATGCCTGAGGGTGCTCTAGGGCAGGCACTTGTCGCAGTGTGCAGCAATCTTTCGGGAAGATCTATAGGAGAACCTATATCCGATCTACATCCGATTCTTGCTTGTGGCTTGCACTGCGACCTTCGGACACGGGCCCCACCCTGTCCGTTAGACCATGCTGTGCTGGGGGTAGGGTAGGGCGACGGTGAGACTGCCAGGCCTCGGAAGAATGATCCGCTGTAGCCATAGCTGTTCTCCTGAGACTGCGTGCTCATCTCTTCCTCAGCTTTTACTTGAACCGCGGCCGTCCAGCTTCGAAACCGGAGCAGAACCAGCAGATGGGCTTTTGCCACTGCAGCTGGGCTGCATGAAGGGAGGAGGATTTGTGCGGGCCTAGCATCGGGCCGTATGGCCTAGGCAATAGGGTTGCATATGGGCCTGGGAGGCAAGCCTTGCGCTTTCGAAAGGAGCGAGTCGGCCTAGACTTGCTCGGCTTCGGAGAGCTAAATTTTCTTGCTGCTGAGGCTGACTTGCAGCCATGGCTCAGTTCAGCGACGATGCGTACAACACAAAGCGCCTTGTTCTTGCCAAGTCCTGCAGGCATATGATGTGAACATATGTGGAGGACATGCAAGATTTCCCCAAAAACCGTGCCAGACGAAGTCGCCTGGCTTCTGCATGAATTGCTGTCATTCGGAAGTAAGGTTGCAGCCGGGAGCAGGGGCAGCGCACCCAGTTCTGTAGTCACGATCGACACAGAGAAGCCAGCTACATTTCAGAACTACACCCAAGTGTTCTGCGCTGCGCAGGCTGGAACGCTTATTGGGAACTGGTTCGAGGCAAATTCCTAGCTCTGCAGGTGCCCGAAGCCGTCAATCCAGCTCTTTCTTGAGAAAGGAGCGCATTCTCCGTGATTCCTCGGGAGAGGGGCGAACTGTACCCCAGCGCCGCGAGCCATACTTCAGATGACCTTGAGCATTTGGGAGTTTCTGAAAATTTGGGGTACCTTATTTAGGGGTCCTTATAATAAGGGTCCTACTATTTAGGGTACTATATTAGGGTCCCCTATTTTCGGAAACACCCATTTCTTCAGGCCAAGCATAGAGTCCCACAGCGTCGCTCGAGGCCATGTTCCTCGGTCTGGGCTACTCAAAGACTGGACCAAAGTGCCAACAGTGCCCAGGCATGTCTGCTCTTATGGCCCGTTCTTGTCGTAACGATCTGGATCCAGTCGCAGGAAGGGCGATGATACCTTCGACCGAGTCTATGGCCCCAAGAGCAGCTTGCAGTGGGAGGCTGCTTCTCACATGATCGGCAAGGCCCCTACCACTTTCGGCCGCTGTGCAGATCTTTGCAGCTAGTCGCCTGGGCAGGGGGACGACTCCACCCCGACGATCATGCGCGAGGGCCCTTTGACAGTGGCATTGAAAAGCGCGCACCACGACGGTGCGGAGACGGAGGTCCAGCAAGAGGAGCGGGCTTCAAGCTTTGATCATGCTAGTGATGCCGAAACTACGACGCTGGTAGGTGTATGCAGGTACACCGCAATGCCTTTTTTTGTTGCATCATCTGGCACCTGTCGGACATCGTATGACACAAGAAGCGACAAGAAGACAGCGAAGATTGAAGTCATGAGCGACTGACGGTTGGCAGGATGCCATCGTCGAAGAAGTCAACCATGCCATGTGTCTCAGTCCAGGTGGTTCTTGTGCAAGCAAGGCTACCGCTGTAGCCCCATACGTAGGCGCTGTTTGACCAGACGCCGTGTTTTGGAAGTTTTACAAGCGTCAATCCACCTGCTTGCGCCGGATTCTCTCGCAGCCTGCTATCCGAGGCCCGGTACTTCGAAACTAGCACCGGCACTGCACATCAGAAGCCGGATTACACGGTTGCTGAAAAGGCCGACTGGGGGCTTCAGGAAGGCGTGGGCTTTAATAGAAGCGGATTCGCTGCATCGCCCTGGACAGGCAACTCACACATCGACTCCTGGCAGCATAAGCAGAGCTCACTATTTTTCCCGATGCTGCCTGTGCGAAAAGCCGAGGAAGAGCTATGCACAAGAAATCAGGTGTGGCCCAGAGCCTGATCAGATGCCAGCCCTAGACAACGAAGGCCTGGAAAGTGATGGTGATTGTCGTCACAGGAGACGTCAAAACACTGGACCTGTCAGGGCTCGAGGTACCCTTCCACGCGCACTACTCGGGTGTGGAGCAGATCACCAACCAGAGGACTGGAATCCACTTGCGCGCCGCTTCCGTCGATTCTTTGGCTTGATGTCAATCCAGGATGTTCATGGCAGACGCGGAGTTTAGGAACAACGTGAAGGCATCAGCCGCAACGGGCAGCAGTCTGAGATCGTTTCCGAGCCGTAGCCAGTCGATCTCACCTTCTTAGCTTCATTTTTGTCGCATGTTAAGCGCGGTCGAACCTGCCAAGGTGTGGGTGCGTTCCACCGCAACTCGGAGTTCACGAAGGCATCCTGCCTTTACCGCCATCCGCTCGCAGGGACGGGGACTGACCTTCGAGTTTTCGTGCAGGGTTGTGACAAGTTCATCCTGGGCGTGCACAAGGTCGCCTCTTTGCTCTTAGTGCTCTACAGTATTTATGTACAATCTACACTGTACCGTGGCAACAGAGAGGACGAGGCGCTGAATGCCATGTACGCCGGGCTGAAGGACACCCAGCCGTTGAGGCTGGGATCTGGGAACCTGGGAAGCCTCCAGGATGTGGGAGCCCTCTTTTCACGAGGCATCTCGGAGGCGAGCTTGCGCCGAACCACTTTGCGGGCATCCCTTCGCTTGCAGCACTGAAAGCTACCATCCATCAGAAGGTGCAAGAGGCTGGGGCCCTGAAGGCTTGTTGCGTGCGAGCCGTTTCCGCTTGATGCCAAGAGACAAGGTCTGGGGCTCCATGGGCTATGTGTCACTCCGCCAGCGGCTCTTCGACTTCTGTGATCACGAAGGATCGGCTTGGCAAATTGTTCCCGGCTGTGGGAAGCTCCTGGCGCCCTGTAGTTTGAAGAGGCTTCGTTCCCAAGGGCAACGTGGTGGCGGCTGCTCTGCTCATATATGCTCGAATCGAATTTCAGCTGTTGGCGGACTTGCATCCCGGTTCCCTTCGACAAGATGGTTCCTGGTCATGCGGTTGGCTCCCGAGGTGTTGAGGGAGCAGCTTGGTGTCACGGAGGAGGAGGTGCCAAGCAAGCCCCTGGATGCGGCTCAGCTGCATGAACCCTGCACACCGTTCTTGCAGCTCGTTTGTGTCATAGGCATAAGGGGGCAAAGTTGGTTGCCCTTGTCCAGGTCTGGCTGACGCAGCTGGTCACCATGAAGAAGGATTGCATTCGCTTGCCGTTCCAATGTGACTGCGCTATCACAATGACGCTTGAGATGGAGCGATGTTTGGCAGGATGAGCTCACAGCTTCGACCTTCATGTCGTCCTTGCGTCCTGCGCTTCCGCAGAAGGAGCAGCAACCCTCTCTGTTGACAGTTGTGAGGAGTCGTGTTGATTCCTGATGGCTCCTTACCGTTTAAGGTGATCCCAGGCAGACGTGTTACATTGCCAGCACGGCAGAAAGCGTGAGAAGTAGATAGGTAGTTCGTTCGACAGCCGTTGACTCTGTAATTGTCACATGCAGCCGCTCGAGTCATTTTGCAAGCGGGGTTCCTTAAGTAGTTTTTCCGTTGATCGACCAAGTTCTGGAATAAAGTTGCGGGCAAGTTGTGCCGTGCAACAGCTTCCTGCTGAAAGCTGTGGGCTCTGAGCTGCGGCACACATACACACAGACTGCGCAGAGCTTTCGACAGGACAAGCGACGAGTGTTGACAGCTTTTAAGCTGCTGCAGGCCTGTCCTGGGACTATGCATAACAGCCGGTAGCAGTGGGCATGATCCTCCAGCTTCTTTGAAGACAGGTTTCCGGTTGACCCAGAGAAGAGGATGTTGAGTTACTGCCAGAGCAGTGAGCGACAGGGTCCCAACAGCAACGGCACCGTTCGCCTTGGCGATTGGCTGCAGAGGCCAATGCTTCTAGCACTTCTCGTGTTCGGTATTGTGCCAGAACAGCCCGCTTCGGTCCTGCTAGGTTGGATGACGGTGAAGTGAAGCAGACCGTCGTTCTGGCGTTCGGTGCCGAGGATGAGGCGGGGTGCCACGATGAAGACAAAGCTGGCCACAGCAGGCATAGAGAGAGGGTATGCCGAAATGTTCCCGGGCATCCAGGAGAGTGTAGCAAACACTGCTGTGACGGAGCGGGTCTTCTTGGAGCTCTTCTCCGACCTTGCATCTTGGCAAAATTCGAGAGACAACTGGGATAGTTGAGGGCATCCTGGTGGTTGAGGCACCTTTCCTTGACATCGGCTCGTTGCTGCAGTGAGGGATGTTCATAGTTTCACCCTCATCTCGGGTCTGATACCGGTAGTTCTAACTAGCTCACAAAATGAAAAGCAGTGCTTGCCCTCGCCCGGGCCACCGGTTCTTCGAAGAGATGCCATGTTTCACCAGGACATCGAGAGGTGCGCGGGGCAGTGGAAGGGTTTGAGGGGAGAGCCCAGAAAGAGTGATCCAAAGGCTCCAAGGCTCAGGGGACCTGAGGGACCTCTGCCCTCCGTGCAGTTTAGCTCGCACACACCGGCTGAAAGATACGCAGCAGGTGCCGAGAACTGCAGCTGCCCGAACTTGAAAGGGCCCGGACTGGAGCCAGAGCAACCGGGGAGTCCGAAGTAAACAGATGGACGCGCTAAAGCAAGCGACATCAAGCGACCCTGGCCCTTGCCGGACAGTTCAGGCAGTTGCACGGAACGTGAATTTGCGCGGACTGCGTGCATAATTAGGAGTTGCAGGGATCTCTGGCAAGGAAGCTTCAGAACTGGTTGCTTGTCTCAAGGTTTGTCAAGTTTTGTGTTGCGACTCCACGACATGTCAGGCAAAGCCTGGGACTTGATTGGACAATGCAGACAGCAATGAGGAAGCAAAAAGGCTCCATGACATATTTAGGAAGCTCAGACGGCTTGATCGGGAGTCAGATGGCATGCTACCAGCATTGCAGCAGGTCAGAACGGTGAGGCCCAGATTGCAAGATACACTTGCTCAAGGAGAGTCCCGGAAGTAGTGAGACACCTAGCGACACCATAGTACAGCACTGACTCTAGCTTGCTTCAGCCCAGGCCAGCTTCTGGTAGGGTGAGCCCACGATCATGCTCTGGTCCGTTTGCGCCATGTCTGCCATTCTGTTGCTTGGAGGAGAAGAAGAGCGCGACAGATTTGCTGTGACACTGGCTTACCGGGAAGGCACAGAAACCCCGCTCATGGTGTTTGCGAGCTCGCCCGCAGCTGGGGCGGAGGAGCGTCTAGCAAAACTGCAGGAAGCTGGGCAGCTGGTGCTGTCGTATCGTGCCGTTGACACCGTCACCAATTTCTCAACAATGATACCGGACCTTCAAGGTGCTGGTGTGACGCATGTTCTCCTGGTGACTTCGAGCTATCACATGCCAAGGGCCGCAGCAATCGCAGAGATTATGCTGGGATCATCTAGGATTACCTTTGAGACATGGACGGTGGATTGTGCCACGAGCAGGGCAGGGAAGCACGAGCCCCGATGGAAAATCTACCGCGTTCCTCGGCGCACAGTTTGACCAAGCTTGTGCGTGCTTTCTTGTTGAATTTAGTTGAGCTTTCTATTCGCATAGGCTTTCGTGGGATTTCTTCATTTGGCGCAGGCGTACTTCAGGACCTTAGGACAGGCAACAACACTCGACAATCGACAGCCATCTGTACAGAAATATTGTTTGCTATAACAGCACATGCCAAACAATCACTGGCGCCCGGATCTATCTCCCTTTCTGATCTGCGACTGCTGCAGTCTGCGACCTTTCGGTTGGTGGTGATAGTCGGAGCTTGGTCGGGATCTGTGACACAACGTCCCAGGGCAGTCTCTTTCTTGGACTGATCACTGGATTTTTTCCCACAGCTTTGAGACATTTGTCCTGTCTCTGACTCGACTCCACAGACTCTCATCGACCAACCCCCGAAGCTCTACAGAGCTTCGGGTTTCGAGGAAATAACAATGAATGGCACCACGGTCAATATCGCCAATCCCTCGTGCCTTAGCCATGCTCTGGGTCCATACTGGAGAGAACACAGGAATATTGAACCAGAGTGCGTGAGAGTGGTGCGATAAGTACTTATGCGAAAGAAAGTCTTCGCACATGGTGAAGCTCTTGCTTTTTGCACCGGCACAGGATGTTCTTCGAGCGAGAATTTGGAGCATAACTGGATGGGACTTCCTTTGGCTTGCGAGGATGCTGATTCCTTGTGTCCGCTGCCTGCGACTGTAGCGGATCCATATCGGAGCTGCGACGACAGCGGGCGCGCGATCTGAAAGTGCAGCTTCGTGCACCTATGCAGACTCTCTTCACTCATCCTTTGCTCGACATCGTCTAGAGCTCTACGAGCTCAGTTGCCCCATATCCGATGAACGAGCACGTTCTTTGTCCTGTGGAGATGGAGACGTTATGAGTTATGAGGTATGGAAGTGCCGCCTAGTGATGTGGCTGAATCACCACAGACCTGCAAGCTGGCCGGAGTGCAATACTACGACCTGCTTGAGAGCCAGCGACGATTACCCAGCGGATGAAAATGTTTTCTTGGAATTTCTTGGAGACCCTTCTGATCTTTGGTGCCATCACATGGCCTTTGCAGGCGTGGCGATCGGCGGTTGAGATCTGCACAGGAATGTTGCTGCTTGGGGCCGCCTGCGATGCATGATGGTTGCTCGTGCCATCGACTGCAAGTTCTGGATCAGATTCAGCATGCGTGGAGATGCGCAGATCTTTTTTCGCTTTCACCCAGCCCAATGCCAGCCACCCACTTGTAGACGCAGCACGTCCCACTGCCAATACCGTGCAGAAGACTAGTATGCAGCAGCATTCGTGTTCTGTTGTGCAGCAGGCTGTGCTAGCTATCGTGCCCGCGCCATGGCATGCTCCCGTTGCCGCCAGTGCATCGACAGCCTGAGACCAGACCTCACGCCTTCGACGGAGCTCAGTGACAGAGGCGACGGTGGAGTCTTCTCCATGCGCGCGCTGCGAGTTTGCAGGGGGATACGGACGGTGGACACGGAAGTCCGCCCTGCAGGCTCTGGTTGTCAGGCAGATCTCTGCCCTTTCCGGATTCAAGTCGATGGCTTCTCCGGACTGCTTGGGGCCTTTCCCAGATGCTTTACGTCCGGTAGTCTTCTGCTGACGTGGCAGATCTTGCAGGAAGTGGTCCTGTCATGTTCAACTTGACCATTCGCCGTGGGCCTCAGCTCTTTTTTAGACTTGCCGCAGAGCTTCGCTGTTCAGTGCATGACATGGTGAAGAGACGGCAGTGCATTCCTTATCTTCCTGTCGAGGCAACGGTGATGCCGTGTGGCAAGTCAGGCGAAGGTTTCGACAGGTCAGGTCACTGCACCAATCTTTGAGACGCTCGGCTTACACTAGCCGCACCGCTGTCGAAATCGAGATGCCTTCGTCCATGTGTTTGCAAATCTCCGGTCTTGCGTACTGACGCGAACACTAGTGACGAGGGCAATTGGCCCGAAGGAAGCTCTCAGTTGCGCCTGAGCGCCTCGGTGCCGAAAAACAGGTCAGACTTATCTTGCTCGTGGGTTGCCGCCGCCACCACCCCGGGCTACAGTACGGTCTGTTGTATTCGGACAGCTGCTGGGCAGCATGACAGCCAGCTAGCTCACAGCTGCCTGCATGACGAGCCTGTTCCAGAATGTTGCATCTTCATGTTGACGTCCCGCGCGAAGCTGCAGGAATGACCGTGCTTTTCTTCAAGAGCGTTCTCGGAGGACGAGCACAGCGGCATGGTGCGCGACTGTTCACTGCTTCCGCCTGGCAGGATTCAACAGTACCTGCGCGAGCTGACAAGCGTGATCCCATACGTTGAACAATGCGAAGCCCTGTATCAGCCCCTCGGCCCAGGGGTCCCAGGGGGATCCTGCTGCACCCTGCGCTGCACTGCTGTTTCGAAAGGTTTCTGTGCTACCTCTACCTTCCCAGATGGCGAGGGGACCGGGCACTCGCCACAGCTTTGAGCAGTACCCTTGCCATGCGGTAAGGTGGTTTGAAGCTGAGGTCCTGGTTGGGGGCGGAGCACCGCCTGTCGATCCCAACGTGGTGACGAAGCTTCCTAGAGCACTCCCTTTGGAGCCTGGCGAGGGTCAGGAAGTCCCAGAGAAGGTGCCCGACTTACTCTGTAAGTTCCGTGAAGTGAACATAGGCGAGAGTCTGTGGATGTGCATCGTCACATCTTTTTTTGCAGCATTGCTTGCCAATGCAAACATCTTCGGACGAGCTTGATCCATGCTACCATTCCAGCGCAAGAGACAAGAGGTGTTAACCGCGCACACAGTATTCCTCCTGATCAGGCCGTCGTATGCGTGGTTTGCCAGGAGGTAATGGATGCCAAGGAGGACATCAGAGTGCACCTGCCTTGGGTATTCCTTGATTGATGCGCGGCCGACGCGACACAGAGTCCGGAGAGAGAGAGAGAGAGAGAGCTAGACTGGAGCACGAGATGCGACTCGGTGAGTATTTCATGCTGAGGCTGCCATGCAAGCACGAGTTCCTGTGGCTGCAGGGAGCTGGGACGCTAGGAGAGTCGGCGAAGGTAAGGAGAGACGGGCGGCAATGAAGTGTCCGGAGCCGAGGTTCCACTACAAGTGCATCTCAAATTGGCTGACAAAGCGGAATACTTGTTGCATTTGCAATGGCCCCGCCGTGTTGTCTGCACCCCATTTCACATAGGGCATGGATGCACTCAGGAATCGGGGTCTGTCAGATGTGCCAAGCATAGCTGCAGATTCTTTTGCCAGAGCTGCACCGATCCAGCTCCAGCCGAAGGCTATCGTGTCGGTTTTTCCAGGCGGGTGAAGAGAAGATATTTACGAACACATCGCAATTCTGTCTGTGCTACCGCAGCTGGCTTGCCTGCTTCACCCGTCTCGCACGATACGTGTGTAGACAGGCAACCAGAGGTTGGTAGGCTCCGGGAACATTTCCCGCCGTGGAATCAGGTAGTGAGCCAGGTTGACTTCCGTGGCTGACACATGAGCTGGGAGTGGTTGAGCTCCAAACGAACCATCTGAGGCAAAGAAACAGTACACAAAGAATCGGCTTCGCGGGTCAGCCGGGTGCCTGTGGCGGAGCAAGCTAGACCAGCAGGCACAGTGCGATGTGTACACAAGGAGACGAGGGAGAGCACGTGTCCGAAAAGCGTACATGGGCTTGGGCGGCTAGTCTTGCACATATTTGAGCAGGATAGGACAGGTTTCACAGATATAGTCTATATAGTCATATTGTAGCCTGCAGGAGTCGCAGAAGCTGGACCGGACTCTAGGATCCCGAGGAGTGTTTGCCTTGAGTGAATTTCCCTGGCAGGCATGCTGTGCGGAGCTTCGTCGACCTTCCTCACATGTGCCCGTGGAGTTTGCGACGAGCCACAATGAACAAAGAAGGCCCAGTCATAAGCTGTATACGCCTCGGCCTCGTGCGAGGTGGACATGCAAGTAACGCCAAGTGGCGCAGGACGGGATGCTCCATCATTCCCACCCAGGATGCAGCCGCGCTGGATCGCTGTCATCAATCCCTCCTTGCATTCAAAGGGGAAGGAGGCGAAACTGCCGTAGCCGGATGAAAATCGGTTCGCTGCTAAAGGCTACGGAATTGCGCAGTGAAAGTTTCTGCTGAACAAAGCTACTGCAGCAGCTGGTTGCCGACATGGTGCCCTGAATCCGTACCTGAGCCGCGGTGAAGCCAGGCACATCTACTGTATACAGATGGGTGTGAAGGAGGAAGCAAAACGTGAGTGAGATTCAAAGGATCGTAGAGTCGTAGAAGAGCGGTTCAACGACGGTGTGACCTGACCGGTAATAGCGAGCAATAGAGAAAGTTGCGGCGTCGTCGTCGTAGTAGTAGGAGGCGGAGGAGGAGGACGAGGAGGAGGAGGCGGCGGCACTAGTAGTAAGTACAGTCGCTTCGTCCCCGCGACATGTGGCTACAGTGAAGGCACCAACCTGGGCTTCGGGCATTTGCAACACCGGAGGGGAGTGTAGCGAAAGCCATGAGCAGAAGTGCACAGCTGACAGATACCGGGGAGGGCGGGTAAAGGGTGCTCGTCGTGCAATGACGCAATGCTAGAGGCTTTGTTTGGCACGGTGGAGCCAGACTCGGCTCGTCACCGCCGAAGCGTTTCCTTCGAAGACGAGCGCGAGGTTCCGGCATCATGGGGAGTGTGGGGCAACGTGGGGCACCTGATGAGTGGTGCTTCTGAGACTCCTATGTCAAGCCAGATGCGGCACCCTGACAGCTCTGGTTTTGCTGGACAGGCTCCTCAGACCATACCTGCCAGTCCGAATGGTTTGATTGATGCCCGGAGAGCACAATCTCCCAACGGCTCGGAGTCACCTAAGACGGTGCTAGCAGAGGACGCAGCGATATCTCCTGGAAGTGGGACGTGGCTTCCTTTCGGAAGCCAACCCGGCAGAGGCAGAGGGAGCAGAGGCAGGCCATTGCAAGCACCCCTCCTGCCTCCGGAAGGCCCTGAGATGTCGCTGCATCGTGCCCTTGAGCAGCTCCAGGCAGCACTGACAGCCTGGGAAGGTGCTGTGAAGTCCAAGACGGGCTTTACGGGAGACTTTCGAGGTGACTGCAGACGGGAGGAGCATGCCGTGGAGTTCGCATCTGCTGCCTTCGAGGATGTCCGGACTTCCCTCACCCAGGAGGGCATGATGACAAGGATGCTGGCCAGCCGAGATCTGGAGCAGGGTGCCATGCGAGGGCAGGAGGTTCTGAGGGCTTTGGCCGGTCACAGCCCTTGGGCAGACAAGGAGAAGGTACAAGAATTACTGCACCGACGCTTGGACTTCCTGCTGAACCCCAGCTTCGATCCCAGCCATTGCCGCTTTCCAAGTGGAAAGCACTTCCTTAAGCTAGTCAGGGACAGGAGACGTTGGCCCCAAGCGGAGGCCCTGGCACTTCAATGGCCGGACATCTTAGAGCGCACACTCGGACGAAAGGGGGCAGAGGATTGGAAAAGGCGTGCCGACCGTCTACTAGTCAAGAGAGTCGATCGGGACAAACGGCACAGGAGCTCCCAGGAATCTTTTGAACTCTGCGACTTGTGCGTTTCGGAAGGGCGTGAGGATAGACACGTTCCACAGTCGCCAGGGGAAGTTTCGGGTCAGTTGACCTTCACGCGGATCCGGGCGTACAACTTGCGCAGCGCAGATGTGCTGGATGAATCCGATCCTTTTGTGAAGTTCGAACTGGGAAGCCTGGCACAAGCGCAAACCAGCGTGGTTTGGAACAATGAAAAGAACCCTGAGTGGAAGGATCCAAGCACTGGTCGTTGGGAGGAGGTTTTTATGAGAGTGGCCCATGCGTCGCTGGACCGCTTTCCTCAGCTCCAAATCTCCGTCTGGGATAAGGACACCTTCACGCACAATGACAGCCTCGGCAGTCAGACTCTTTCTCTTGTCGACCTGCTGCAGCAACATAGCGGGTATTCCTCTGCTGCCCGTGCTTTGAAGAAGCAGGTGACTTGTGAAACAGGAAGTGTGGTGCTGCAAGGTCCTGGTGCAGGGGATCGGGGCCCGTCAATTGAGTTCAGTGTCACCTGGACTCCCGGCCTGGATGGCCTGGATTCCTCCGAAGACCCTCTGATGCTGGAGCCGGAGAAAGATGGAGCCTTACAGCTCCTAGCCGAAATGGAGATGGAACTGCCCCATTTTCTCAAGGAGTTTGGCCCGAAGTCGGCCGACAGCTTGGGTTTCTTTCTGCAGCCTCAGGACTGCAACACGGACGTCAGATCCTCCCGGGAAGAGAAGAAGTACAGCAACTCTGAAGTGCAGCAGGTGAAGGACTATAACGAGTTGTTGAACAAGCTCAAAAACCGCCTTCAACATCATCACTTAAACTTCCGCGAGATGAACGATCTCGTGCAGGAGCTTCAAGAAGTTGAGACACGGGCAGGGCATGGCGCAGGGCGACGAATCTTTGCGTTTCAGGACGAAGATCTGCCCATCATCGGCGAGTGGAGCACGGACAGACGAAGGCAATTGCGCAATCAGCTGTTTCTTGCAAAGCTGGACGCCGGCATAGTCGCCCCAGTTGAAAGAGGCTGGAATTTCCACCTCTTGCTTGTGCTCATTTTCCTTGCTGTGTTCTTCAGCTTGCTCAGCTTGCTATTGCTGACATACATGCGAGACGAAGACGGTCGCGGGTGGATTGTAGTTCTCGTAAGTCTTGCAGGCTTTGGGTCCGTAGCCGTGGTGATAACTCTTTCGCTTCCAATATGGAAGCCTTACTTTGACAAGCCGAGACCTGGCGCAAGCTACCATCCCGTAGCCGAAAGCGCCTGACTGAATTCGGCAACGATGCAAGGCAAGGCATCAAGGGTTGAGGCTGAAATCGGCGGAAATCCTTGAGACGCACAGCAGCCATCAGAAAGCTTGCGAAGCCAGACCAGGCTCTCAACCGTGGCTGCTGTCTTGAAAATCTTGAAAGCATCTCAATGTGTTGTTGCTGTTGTGGCGGTGGTGGTGCTGCTGGGGTGTGTGTGTGTGTGTGTCTCGGTGGGGTTCAGTTAAAGTGTACTGCTGATGTGGTGAGTGTGATGATGAGTGTGATGGAGATGATGGAGATCATGAAGAAGATGAGGATGATGGCGAACATGCCGGGGATTGGATTGCAGAAACTATTCCCTAGACAGTGGTCAGGGCTACACTATTCATGTAGACTCCTAATCGCGGCAGCACCTGGCGGGCATGGAAGTAAGCACGGGTCAAGGTATCTGGAGGACACGCGTGAGGCTTGCTGGTGGGCCTTCACCTCTGAGTTACAGTTAGAGTCAAAGGCAGCTTGTGACGTGAAGCCGTTGCTTGGATCATCGCCGATACGACCACGAAATAACTTGGAAGACGCCCCACATCAAAGCAAGACGGCAGCTGCATGAAGCCACCAGTTATCACCCACCACGTGCAGTTGTGCAGCTTCAGCAATACATGAGCCATTTCCCACCCCTTTTCCTTTCATGCCACATTAGCTCATGCAGCGCGCGTGTATATGCTTGGACTGAGATATCCAGCCCTTAAAAGAACCTCCTGAGATACCTCGTCGCTGCAGACATGTACCACGAACGCTGAGAGAAAAAGCGCCCCATGGCCGCTCACGGCGCAGGCCGGTCCTTGCAATGATCCGGTTTTGCAGCAGAGATACGGGCTTGAGCGGCCAACACGGGTACAGAGCTTGGTTGATTAAATGTATCACTAATGTCGACATGCCCGGCCAAACTAAAAACCGCCACAGTCAACCCACCAAACACGCCTCCTCCCGTCGCAGGCTACGAGCCGGGGCCGGAGCCGCCATGTTCGGTGATGCCCGAGAAGCAGCTGACCGCCTGGTTGGAGAAGCTGAAGCTGACCAGCTGCTGGGCCTCAAGAGAAGCAGCGACATGTTGCAGCGACACAAAAATGGGGGTTCCCGAAAATTAGGGGACCCTAATATAGTACCCTAAATAATTATAAGGACCCCAGAATAAGGTGCCCCTTATTTTCGGAAACTCCCATATGCCCCCCTGAGCCAAGGCTACGCTGCAAAGGCGAGCACCTGGTGCCTGGCTTGTCAAAGCGGCTTGCCCGAGCTTTGCACACAAGTTGCTGACAACCAAGGTGCCAAACCATGGGGGCTGTCAGTGCTCCCCGGATAGACAGACGCAACTTCTTGTGCTTTTGATACTGTTGTTGTGTTGTCCTCCTCGTCGATATCGTCATCGGTACCAAATCGTCGGTTTGTCTACGGCACATACATGTAAACATCTGGAAACCTTACCCCTGCAGTCTAGCTGAGATTGAACGCCTGGGGGCAAGCCATTTGCCATGCAAGTGCAGGAAGACAGGATGCCCCTTCTTGATTGTCAGGAAGTTTCGCAGCCATAGCTCGAACTTGCAGCTTCCATGCGCACTTCCTGTTGGATTGTTGTTGCTGTTGCGGTTGCTGATGTTGCTGCAGTTGTTTTTTTTGTTTTTGTGGGTTGTTGTTGGTTGATCTTGGTTGTTTTTGGTTGTGATTGTCCTTGTCGTTGTCGTTGTGGTTGTGCTTGTGGTGGTTGTGGTGGAGACGTATCGAAATCGTATCAAAATCGTATCCAAACCGTGTCCAGATCGTAAACCATAAGAAAATCGTGACCGGAAGGATTCCTCAAATCGTATCAGAATCGCAGAATCAAAACGAAATCGTAGAATTAAATATTTCTGGAAACGGCCGCGTCCCGACACTCTGACCGTCTCAAGCATGGTGCACCATCCCGAAAGACAAACATGGTGTTGGTGGTGGTGGCGGTGGTTATGGCTGTGGTGATGGTGGTGGTGGTCGTGGTGGTGGTGGTGGTGGTGGTGGTGGGTTGCGGTTGTCGTTGTCGTTGCGGTTGTTATTGTGTCATCGTCGTCTCGGGTTTGTCTTTGCCATTTGCCATTCTTCTTGTTCTTGTTAGCGCCGCCCCTGTTCTTGCTCCGTGATGTTGTGCTTTGCTTCTCCCGGCTGCCCTCTGTCGATGCCGGTTTTCGTCACAAAGTGTCGGCGAAGATGGCACTTCGACTCTGCATGGAGAGCTGAAGAGTGGCTGTGTTGTCATGTTGCCTTTGGAGCACATGACAGCTTAGCCAGCGGCATCATGCAAGGTTCACGAGATCCTGGAGAACTGGGAGGACTTTGCTGAAGCATGCAGCTTAAAACCTTTGGAGCGTAGACGCCGCTTGTCAGCCAACTTTAACGGGGCGGGTTTCAAGGAGCAGCAAAACCTTGCCGTCAGTCCAGCCAGACGAAGAGAAAGGACACCGCGCAGCTAAGGCGTGGAAAAGGATGCTGCTGCTGTGGTGGGAAACGACGCGGCCACTGGAAATGCGGCAGCAGCCGCGTCCGAGGCTGCTGCCAAGTCTAGACCACCCACGCCATCCGGAGCGGCTGCCGTTGCCTGCCTGTGCGTTGTGACATGCAGTTACATTCTCAGCAGAGCCTCAACTCAGGTTACATTAGCAGCCACCACGGCAAACCACTTCGGTCCCAAGGACGCAACGGATGCGCTTGGTTGGTGAAGTCTGGGGAGGGGACCAAGTCAGTTCGGCTGTTGGTGATCCAGCATGCTGTTCGGAGGAGGATCCCGAGAAGTATGTCATGGGTGAAGAGCTGGGCTCGGGGGCAACTGCGACGGTGTGCAGGCCGGTTAGTCACGGCCCGTTGGCATCAAGCCGGGACGAAGTGGCGCCGCGAGGTGTGTACGCAAAAAGGACAGCAAGCAGTTCGCCGCCGGAGTCTTAAAGGTCTTGCCGTCTAAGCGCAGCGGTCAGATCCCTCAATAGAGCTGAAGGGCAGGCTGCAGCAGCAGCTGCTCCAATTTGTGGTCCTGGGAATTTGGGCATCTGCAGGTCAAGAGCATCAACATAGGCAAGCTCCGGCTGCAGCCAAATTTTCAAAAAGTTTCGGAGAAGTTGCAAAGAGAGGCCGGGTCCCCCTGGGCTCGTGTCAGAGTTTTGGTTTTGAGTGTAACGGCAAACTCGCTTTTTGCAGGTCTCGATCCTGTCTTCTTTGCGGCACAACCGGATCGTCTCACTCTTCGAATCCATCGAGAGCCAGGACTACCTCCATCTGGTGACCCTGTCAAAGAATATGAGACTGCCGCTCAAGACTGCTAGGGCCGGAAGAGGGCTGGCGGCTTGTGCTTGGCTCGGTGCGAGGTGATGGAGCTTGTGGAGGGGGGCGAGCTGTTCGATCACATTGTGAACATTGGCTCCTTCACCGAGCCTGTGGCACGCTATGCAGCAGAGCCGCAAACATCAGAGACACAGAGCCAGGCAGAAAGACACTACCAGTAGCACGTGGCCGAGATCGTGAAATCAGCCCGCGCCTGCGCCAATGAGGTCTTTATCCAAATAGCAGAGGGGTTGAAGTACATTCATTCGCAGCACATTGTCTACCGGGACCTGAAGCCCGAGAATATCCTTGTCGCGCCTGTGCTGCATCCGGGGTATGTCGTTCGCCGTTGCATGGAACGCAGGTGTGCTCAAGTGCAAGACAGAGAGTCTAAGGACCAGAAAAATTCTAGACAGGGCCTTCTGGAGATCAAGTTGTCAGACTTTGGACATTCCAAGCTCATCCATGACGGGTACAGCACTGCGTTGACTCGCGCGGCTTGTCTTTCCAGTTGCAAAGAGGTAGCCCGAAGCCAGCCATTCTCGCCACCCCGACAAGTAAGCCAGCTTGTTTCGCCCAGTGCCCAACGCCATCCTTGCAAACAGTGACCCAGGTTGGAACACCGCAGTACTGGGCTCCGGAAGTGTCTGATCCGTTTAAGGCGGGGCAGAGAGCTTGGAATGCAGTTTCTCTGTGCAGCGCTACAGCCCGGCCTGAGCTCCAGGCTGCCAAGGGCTACGACGAGAGAGTGGATCTGTGGTCCTTGGGTGTGGCCGCTTGCCCTGCAAATCCGACTTCTGCCCAGCAATTTCACGAACTTGCAAAGCCAGGTTTTATACGTGATGCTGGTGGGTGCCTACCCCTTTGATGGTCTGGGCGAGCCGATCGATGCACAAATCCGCCGTGCGTCTGTGCAGTTTCCAGCGGGACGGAGGTGCTGCGTGTGTGTGTGTGTGTGTGTGGTGGGTACTTGTGCCGGTCGCAAACACTTCCTTAGCTCGCTCATCAAGCTCGCTGCTGGCGCATCTGTTTTGCAGGCCCAGCCAGAACGCGCAGGATTTGATCAGGGCTTTGATACAGTCGGATCCAATGCAACGGCTGGACCTGGACCGCTGCCTTGCGCACCCCTGGGTTTCCACAAGTGCTGGCAGCCTCTCCAAGGTGCTGAATGAAGTCCGGCGGCCTGCCTTCAAGCGAAGTTTTTTTTCAGGGAGATCGGGTTCTTCGATTATTCGAGCAATTGCAGTCACCGGCAGCCCCACAGATACACAGGCAAGCACCCCCGGAAGAGAGGGAGGAGCCGTTCCAACTTCCGGGCGACCCTTCCAAGGACAGGTCAAAATATTCATATTCTCAGTGCAGGGTCTTCAGTCCCACCCTGCTTGCAAAGATTGTAGCTAGGAAGTCTCACTCAAGGAGCAAATCGATGGCCTTCGCCGTGATCTCCAGCACTGGATCTACAAATGGCGTTGTGGCGCCACGATCCAGAGCCTCAGTCAACAGAAGCAGACACGGAACACAAGGGGGTATCTCTTTGCAGCGACAAGGCAGGAGGTGCCGAGGCTTCATATGAGACTTGCCAGGAAGAGGAAGCAGGGCAGCCTTGAAGCAACCTACGTCATGGCCAACATGCAACTGGGTGTGACGGAGGACGACTGGTGGCAGTGCATGTATCCTCACTGCTCCCAGCCAACCGGCTGACAGAGCTTACTCAAGGCTAAGTGCGGCTGACTCAACTTTGGGCTGCGCGGGCTCTCTGCTTCCGTGTGCCAGGATGAGCGCCGGAAGGCTCGCAGAGAATTGCAGGACCTCATCAATTTCAATTTTCCAGGCAAGCGCAGCAACCGCTGCCCGGTAGATGTCCGAAGAGCTTCACGTCTAGATGCAGAAGTTGCTCCCATCCTCAGGCCAGCAGGTCAGCGGAGGCCAGCTCCAGCATTTGCGACATGGCCATGTTCATGCTGTGTGGCATGTCGTGGCTTCGTTTTTTTCTCCAGCGTCCTTCTTTGAAGACACCTTGACGACCCCCTTCATAAAATCCAGGTTGTTGTAATAATTAGTAAGGTTGCTTTGTTGCATATGCTCAGAGGAGATATAACGGTCTGTTTTGGGTCTCCTGCAACGGCAATGCTTCGACAAGGCTGGTAGCGTCTTGATTCTGGCATGCGCACTGATGCCGCAGGATCGCCTGGCGCTCCATCGACATTGCCTTCTCTTCCGGAGGAGCGCATGAAGAAGTCGCACCGCTTGCTGACGCACACCTTAAAGGCCCAGGAAAAATCTTGCCACTGGTCCATAAGTCTTCTTGACATTGCGATCTGCTGCAACGCCCAGAGGTTTCGGGAAAAGATGGTGCTGGCGTGGAGTTGGAGCCAGAGGCAGGCGGCATGAAAGTGATGAAGGCTGCCTGCCAGCAGTGCATGTAATGCCTTCCATGTTTATGCTGTGCTGCAAGATGCGAAGTGGAACAAAAGTTTCCTGCCGGTATTGAAATCGGCTGTCCCGTGAACGACTCCAAGTCGTCTGCTTGCCTGGATTGCTACAGCGATGGCCCCCATGCATTGCTTTGGAGCATCAAAGGCCTAAGAACGACCACTTGTAACCCCAGAGCATCGACATCCTGACCGAGGATCAATACAACCAAAACTGTGGGAGTTTGCATAAACGTTAAGATTGGTTGCTCCGCGTCAGCTCGGGTTCGGTGCGCAGCAGTGGCGCGTCAGTGAACGCGTCAGCACAATATCGAAAATGCCGGCGCGCTAGATGCTCCACAGCGCGCGTCAGATGCGTCAGCAATGCGATAGCTTCGGCGCTAGTAGCATCTTTTTAGAACAGCATGATAATTACAAGGTTTTCTTTTAACACCGCACATGTGTTTTCCCGTCGTGTTGTGGGGGCAGCAGACCCGATCGGGTTGACCGGTTGACCCACTGAACAAGGCGACGTCAAGCCAAGCCACAGCCACTTGCGCATGGAGCTGTGCCGAAGTAGAAGACTGCATTGTGTTTTTGCGAATCAGTGAGAGGTTCCCTGCAAATCTCAGGTTTTTCCCAAGCCGGGACAGCCTGGCCTGGAGGCGAAGGATCTCATCATCAACATTGATGGAATGCCCCTCCGTGGCACGCCTGAAACAGTGGGGCACCCAGTTCGACACCTGCAAGTGGCAGTGCCTCTCACCTTAAGCTTCCAGGTCGAGGAGATCTTCGGGCAGCACTTCAGAGATGGAGTTCAGCTGACTATCAAGAGGTTTCAGAGGTAACTTCAAGATACCGTCCAGCTGTTCCCCGCAAACTGGCGTCTCTCGTCACCTAGTATCCTAGTAGTTGCTACTTAGTAGCTTCTCACCCAGGCGCGATGCTGCACACATACTTGACAACCAGAAGTGTGCACAAGGTGTTGTGCCCTTGCTTGGCTCACCCGAAAAAGTCACATTTTGCAATGCCAAGACAGGTTCGGACCAGCACTGTCTGCTCGCCTCATCTTGCACTGGATTGCTCCGACTTGCGAATCATCAGCATTGGGGCGTTTCTGCGGGCATCATGGCGTTTGATTGATCTTTCTGCTTTGTCGAACTTGGGGAACCAGTTGGTTTGTGACCTTGCTTTGGCCCAGGCTGCCCTAAGAAGGGGTAAATCACTAGCCGCTTTCATGCTGCCATGGAGCATGAACCAGAGACGTTGGCATCGCTGCTGGCTGACTGGCTGGCAGAGCGCTTCAAAGAAGAACGCTCTGTAGCTGAAAGCAGACACGAGGCTGTGATCGCTGACATGCGTAAGGTGTTCGCCCCCATTGAGACCAATGGGGGCGTTGATGTCAGTGCGAGCCTTGATGTGAGTGCGAGCCTCGGGGCCGAAATCGCCGAAAGCACCATCATAGAACCAGAGTCCGAGGACGTACCTCCACCCTACGTGCGGACAAGGCTTAAGATGAAGAGGTCATTCGCAATAGGAAATCTTCGACGTGCAGGGACACATGGAACGCTTGGCACTTTCTCGAGCATGGCCAGTGCCAGTGCAAGCCGAGCTGGTCAGCCGACCCCTCTCTCGTTGAAAGACTCCCTTTCGGTCGCGAAAGGGGCTGGGCTTCCCATTTGGCATCCGTCCGCTATGGTGCGTTCTTATGGCTTTGAGCTATTCTTTGCCTTTCTGATCTTGCTGCAGTCTATCACCATGGCAATCGAAGTGCAGTACACTGGGCTACAGTGGGGCTTCGAGCTGCAGTATGCAGGGTATGACGTTCCAGCTTCCCAGGTATGGCAGCATGTGCCGAGTTTTATTCAAGGGATCGACGTGTTTTTCGGCATCCTATTCACAATCGAGGTCGTGCTGAAGACTGCCGTTCTGGGGCGCAGCTACGTCAAGGACGCCTGGTCTTGGTTTGACATCGTGCTGGTTTGCCTGTGGTGCTTGGATTCAGGACTATCTCTTTTGCCATTAGACAGCCCCACTCTTCGGCTATTGCGACTGATCCGGCTCATACGGCTGGTGAAGTTGGTACGGGCCGTCCAGGGCTTCGACTCTTTGATTATCATGACTACTGCCTTGAGGGACTCTGTGAATGCCCTGTTCTGGGTCGCCATGATCATGCTTGTGGTCGAGATGATGTTTGCCTTACTCTTGAACCAGGTGTTGATGAGCCTTGTTCAAGCAGGCTTGCAGCTTTCAGCTGAGGACGAGAAAACACTCTTCGAGTACTTTGGTACTTTTCCCAGGTCCATGCTGACCATGTTCCAGTTCACACTTGGGACTTGGGTGCCAGTGGCTCGCATACTGCAGGAGGTGGTAAGCCCATACTTCAACATCTTCTCGCTCCTGCACAAGGTCACCGTGGGTTTTGCATGCATCGGAGTTATCAACGGGGTGTTCATGCAAGAAACGCTCAAAGTCGCGCAGTCGGACGATGTCATCATGATGCGTGATGTAGCAAGACGAGAGAAAATCCATGCTTCCAAAATGAAAGATTTCTTTCGATATGCTGACCACTCGAAGGACTATGTCATAACTCGTGAGGAATGGCAGCGTGTGATGGAAAGTACTCATGCTCAGCACTGGTTCGAAGCTCAGGGCCTCAATATGGAAGATGCCAACGCCGTCTTCAGGTTACTTGATAAGGACGGCAGCCAGAGCATCACGATGGACGAGCTTATCAAGGGCGTCAACCAGCTGAAGGGTCCTGCTCGAAGCCTTGACCTTCTTATGATGACTGAGCGCAATGCTCAGCTCCTGTCACAGGTGACAGGCCTCATTCAGAATCACGCCAGGAAGGCACCCGGTTCCCCTACAGGCACCAAAGGGCCGTCTCAGACAGCCTCTGGTTTTCAGGTGTAGCCAGGTGCCACAATCTGCCAGATAACTTCGGAAACGTGTCGAACCTTCAAGAGGTTTTGCACGCCTGTTTCACCTACCCTACAACGCCGTACTTAGCCGAGCATACATCCCAGATGTTCGGCTGTGTTTGGCCCCCGCAGGAACACGCTAAAAGCGCTCGCATCACCTTCTTTGATGTCAAGGGCGCCTCACAGCAAGCTTGCAGGCTGGCTTGGCTAACAGATTGCCGTTCTGATCCAGTCCGAATGCAACGGGAGATCATTTCCGAAACTCTTACGAAGCTAATGCCATGCCTGTGGCTCGAAGTAGGCAAGGGAGTGGCTGCCCGAACAAGATCTACCCTCGCAGCAAGAGTCATGTTGTGAGACGTTCTGTCATCCTACTGTAGGACTTCTTGGTTGCGAGCTGGCAGCTCGGCGCTGTACCATGAGGGTCGCCCGCCCATGGCTTGCAGCCAATCGTTGGGATCCTGGCTGGTGCTGACGAGGGCGCAGCATCGGGGAAAAGCGATATAATATGATATAATCCTGTGGATGAGCTGGAGGAGCCTTGACCTCCCCAAATCCTTTGGCCTCGTCAGCGTGACTCGGGAGACGCCCCGGCTGGCCGCATGGAGGACGAAGTGTCCAGAAAGCACTGGGCAAGAGCTCCGCGCTGACATCCAAAAATTTGAAGGGTCTGGCAGACAGGGACGGAGAGAGCTCCAGCATGGAGCAGGAGATCAAAATGCTGCAGCTGTCATCCGCCTCTGCGAAGCCGGCTTTGCTGCGCGAGAGCTATTGACCGCAATCGATGCGGCAGAGGACGCTTGGCGGGAGGGTGTGGGTGGCCGAAGAGACCGTTGCTCGGAGCTGCTCACCAAACTTCGGCTTGCCGTGCAGCAGCTGCGTTTTGGCTTGCGCGTTTCGAGAGCTCCCCTCCTGCTACCTCTGACTGAGACGCCGGCGGACAGAAACGGGTGACAATGTCAGTCCGAGACTTTGGTTTGGCCTCCAACCGAGTGGGATCTGTCTGCGACTTCTGCTGACTGCTTGGCCATGTTTGGAAGACGCGGAGCCGTGTGACGCAGCCGTTGCAGGCAGAAGTGTTCGACAGGTCGTCGAACATCGAGGAACTGTAACACTTCCTCGATGTTCGACGACCTGTCGA